AGTAGGTATGTTACTCCTCACGTGACCCATTTTGGGAATTTTTCTGGGTTTACGATTATATCATTGTATGCCCGTGCGAGGTCTTAGTGGGTGCTATATAGGTTTTTTTTTTTTCCCAAAACTGGCTATTCGGTTTATTCTTGGTGCTTTCCAGTTTCTGGTTTTGCAGATGGCAGCGGTTGTTTTCAGTAATACTGATATCCGTCCATTTTTGGCAGGCTATATATGTGTATTGCTCGTGTTGTTGCTTGATTCATGTTGCTCTTTCATTGTGCATTTTTCAGTTTTCCCACATTACACTAGAACTCCTCGACTTCCTGTATATTAGGTGGGTCATTTATCTATATTTTATTGTTTTCAATTTTCGATATAGTTTCTTAGCGTCTTCTTTGAAGATCTTGTTTTGCCAGAAGAATTTGTTTCTTTTTTCATAACGCCTGATTCTCTATGCCTTCGCTTGAATTTCTTGTTTCAGCTTCTCTGTAACTTTTGGTGAGTCAGTCTTATTCTTTATGTCATGGCTTCCTTTCAGTTTTCTCCTTTTCCTTTCTTTCATTTTGGAGCCCTTGTCTGCTTCACAATTGTTCTCGTCGTTTTATTTATTTAAGTTTCTATTTTTCATTGCAGACTGGCATTTTTCTTTTTCGTTTACGTTGTGTTTTTATTTTTCCGTTTTTGTGATCGTTGCCGACGCTGCATATATAAGATGGTTAATTTCTGTCAGGTTCATCAGTCTTTTTGTTTCGTCCCTTATTTTTCTAATTGGTTGGTAAGCAGGATTAGTGGTTTCCTTCACTTGACGGTTCTTTCTTACTTTTGGAACTGTCGACCTTTCTTCGAAAGACATTTCCTTTACATTCTCCCATTTATAACGCATGTTTTTTTATCATCACTGTTTCTCTCTAATATTCGTGATTATCTTCCTCTATTTGCTCGTGTACCTCAGAGGGATTTTAACAACTGATTTCTATTTGTTCCTCTGCATGTGTCTCCTCTGGGTTGCTGGCATTTATCCCCTCGATATTAAAGCTTGATCTAATTTTTATGTTTTCTCAGATGCTTTTGAGTTCCATGTCAGGTATTCTTTTTTTCCTGATGATGTCACACCTCACATTGGCTAATTTGTTGGCATCGATGTCTAGTCTGTTTGAAGAGTGTTTTTCTCGCCAGATATTATAGGCTGCTTTGGTCGTTGTTGTCGTTATCAGATTAATCGTAGTGGTGTAAAAGACTATCATTATTCAACAGACCATTTATTTATTTTTCTTTTTGTCGGATTTTCTTTTAATGAATATAGAGGACCTCTGTGAGTGTCATGTTCTTACCTATAACTACAGAATGAACTCTTCCTAACACTATGTATACTACGCCTCTCAAGAGAGAGGGTCGAGTCGAACCGTTTCGGCTTGACGGTCGAACTCTCTGCCTCTGAGCAGAGAGGAAACCGGACGAGGCTCCGCCGAAGGGTAGAGCCTCGTTCGCGGAGGTTGACCAACCCGATTCTGTTTTTACAGTTTCTACGGGCATTTTTTGGCCGAGCCTACGGGCTCGGATAACCCACGTAAAACTCAGCCTTGTGCCACATCTTTCCTTCGTGGGGGGGGGAGTAAATATCGAATCGAGTCGAGCCGATAGTAGTTCACTCCAAACCAGACTGACAGTCATACTAACACCTTCCACATCTTGTATTATTATTTCGTGTAATATACCTTCGTTATTTCTACTCTTGTGTTCGTGTTGTTCTTCCTCGGTCCTAACCTGGACCGTAACAGTGAGTACTGTCCTCGGCGTGGTTTTTCTTTCGTTCTCATTGAGTAGCGTTTGTTCTAGTTGCAGACTTTTCGGTCTCAGTATGGTTCCTCATTGGAGATCGCACTCCTTGATGTCTTGCGTGACGACCGATGCGGTTTAGCAATATTTTTCGTTGTGTCAGCATTATAGTTATTTCGTATTTACCCATACGTGGGGGCTGGTTCGTGGGCGCCAGAGTATATCCATACCACGGTGATCTATCACGTTCAGGGAGCAATGCATCCTCCTGCTATTAATATTATTATTATTAACAGTAACATTATTTTAAATTAAAAACATTACAGAATTATTTGAATATGCTGATTTTTTAAATTTCATTTTAACAGTATTTAGCAGAAAAAAAGTATTAATTGAATAAAGTACTTTTTGCAGAAAAAAATTATTTTAATACGAATCTGTTGTTGAATTGATTTTTGTCATTAATAAAAGCAATAGAAATTATTTAACTACGTACATTTTGTCAGTTACTGAATTAAGTTTGAAACTTTTTAATTTTTTTTCAGAACTTCTGTTACAATATTTACGGTTAGTATGATCAATTAGATTGTACTCATCTGTATCGAACTTCGACGATGATTCATCCACTCCTGAATAGCGGTCGTCTATTTCATACCTAATATTGAATGCCATGTTTTTGTTTTCCCGAATACATAGCAACCACATAATTGAAAATTGTTTTAAACTTTCTGACAAAGGAATGACAAAACAAATAAATTATTAAGTTGTTTTTTACCTCTTGCAGTCTCGTACAATTACTAAGACACGTATCGCAGCAAACTACTGAACCAAAACAATATACGAAACTTATATCCATTGCGAAATGAAACCAACACGCATGAAAGTCTAAACTGGCCAGTGATTCATTTCGACGAGAACGCGTGCGAGCGCTCGGCCCCGTCACAATACCGCCCCATCAACCTCTTCAATGGCATAAAAAATTTTGAGACTATCGTCAACAAGACGGTTGTCAATCAACTCAACAGAAAGAAGCTTCTGATCAACAAACAATATGGGTTTCGCTTCTCTAGGTCCACTGCTGATGTCTTAACTGTTATGTATAAAAAAAAAGTGAAGCTCTTGATAAATTCATCACGAGAGCGGTTACCTGGGATCTCGAAGACATGGTGGGTGGCTGCTACACAGGTTCCCCAATTATGATATTTCCGGTACAGTCTACACGATTATCAAGTTATTCCTATCGGAGAGGGCCATGAAGGTCATAAGCCCAGGAGTTCAGTGCAAGCGTCCCACAAGGCTCTCTCCTCGGTCCTACTCTTTTATCTGCTATATACCGATGATCTATGTAAGGACATTCTCAGATCACGATTATGTATATGCACATGATACCACAGTTTACCGGTGTACCACCAAAAATCTCGATGACTAGTACTTGGTAGTTGATCTCTTGTGAGAATTTCTTCTCACACAGTTCAACGCTTGACAGAAACAAGAAAGACATACAATCAACAAGGCCTACCTTAAAACTTAAAACAAATTTTATTGTATCCTTGCAAAAAAAGATTTTGCCCTTTTTTGCCCCTGGGAACAGGGTTGGGTAGTTCTTCAATGAATAGGTAGTGTCTTTTACTTCAGTAGGACTCAATTGGTCTCTACGAAGTTGGAGAAGCTGGTATGTGCTTGTCGTTGCTGGAGCATTACCATTTCGGTTGCTGAAGTTGAAACTCGGCTATTGTCGAGATCATGCATAAAGTTCTTCGAGTAGAAGTACACATTTGACGACAGTCAATAAATGACTGAATTATACAGCCTAGAAAGAATTAAGCTGGAATATGACGTCGTCTCTGAAGCATTACCATTTGGTTGCTGAAAGGAATCATAGCCTAATTATTTAGGCTTGATCTTGGGCGCTAAAGACCCTGCAAAGATATTCAAAAATGAGTCCGGATATTTCCAATAATATGTCGCAACTGGTTGAAAGGAATCTTAGCCTAATTATTTAGGCTTGATCTTGGGCGCTAAAGGCCCTGCAAAGATATTCAAAAATGAGTCCGGGCATTTCCAATAATATTCCGCAACTGAGTAAAAAAGGGCACGGGCCGTTGAAAAATGCCCGCGAGAAAACCAAGTCAAAATTCGACCAATGAAATTGGTCGTTACAAATCAGCCAATAGGAGCTTAAATTTCAGAATTTCTTACACTCTCAATGGTGGGGATTACGGGTTTGTGATATTTAATACCACCAAAACTAAGCGAGTAACCGGTGTTATCTATAGTCACGTGGAGCGGTTCTACTTCCAAACTCCTTTCTAATGTCTTCGCCGAAGTTTTTGACAATAGTAAGGTTTTTCTGCTGGTTATTATCCTTGGCAAACGTTTTAAGATCATCAAGATAGAATAAGTGATTCAATTCGCCATTCTCTGTCTTGTATCTGCCGTACTGTTGTTCAGGCAGCTGAGTGGCGCTAATGCAAGGGGGAAGAGTAATGGTGACAATGAATCTCCTTGGAAGATCCCGCTTTTGATGTTAATGACCCGTTTGTATGGTTTAAGTTTAGTGTAGTTTTTTAAGTTGTTCATGCTCTCGTAATGAATTTGACCATTGTGGGGCATACTCTCTATATTTTAGGCCTTTATCCATTTGTGTGGAACACTGTCGAACGCATTTCTGTAGTCGATCCAGGCTGTTTTTGTTTTCACCTCTACCAATATTTTTTTTTATTGATAATTAGTTGGTCCTTGCACTCGTAACTTTCTATTTTACACCCTTTCTGTCCTGATGGGAGTAAATTGTTTTTCTCAAGGAAGTTGTATGTCCCCTCGGTTATGATAGAAGTAAGGATCATGTACATTGATGGTAGGCAGGTGATGGGTCTATAGTTCCTCGGGTTCTGTGTCTCTTCTGTTGTGGGGAGCAGGTATTTTACATGTAGGTGTATGCACATGATGCCACCGTTTATTGGTGTACCACCAGAAATCTCGATGATCAGCTCTTGGTAGTTGATCTCTCAATGGTGGGGGGTTACGGGTTTGTCATATTTAATGCCACAAAAACTAAGCGAGTAACCTGTGTTATCTACAGTCACGATAAGCAGTTGTACTCTCAATGACTCTCATTGCTTGGGGCGTCTACTGGGAGACAAACTCACAGCACACCTCAGGTGGAACATACATACGGGTCCATCGTTAAAAACGCTGCAGAAATGGTCAGTTCGTTGTACCGGTCAGGCTTACGGCCACACCACATCGAGATACCGATTTACGTACGATCAACGAAGTTAAGCAACGTCGAGCCTTGTCAGTACTTAGATGGGTGAGCACTTGGGAATACCACCAGATGCCGTAAGCCTGGATGTGCGGGTGGTGTAAAATGCATACGGCCTCATCACGCCGAAACACCGGTTTCTGTACGATGACTAAGTTAAGCAACGCCAAGCCTTGTCAGTACTTCGATGGGTGAGCGCTTGGGAATTCCACCAGATGCCATAAGCTTGGGTGTGCGGGTGGTGTAAAATGCATACAGCCCCATCACGCCGAAACACCGGTTTCCGTACGATCATCGAAGTTAAGCAACATCGAGCCTGGTCAGTACTCAGGTGGGTGAGCGCTTGGGATTGAAAACTTGGATGTGCAGGTGGTGCAGTGGATAATGGCCCAGAATTATTAATCGGAGAACCGAATTCCAATTTTCGTAGGGTTCGTTATATTCACATACGTACAAATACCCTCGGGAAATGTATGAATTCGCCTCTTCTCTCCCTAGATAAGGGTTAATTAGTATGACTTTTTTGTGATGTCAACGAACACTTGTTGCCACTCTTGTAATGCCAACGAATACTCGTTGTAACTTTCGTAATGCTCGTTGTAGTAGAGACTTTGTAATCGCAGATACAACTATAATAACGCCGTTGAACATTACTGGTGTCAGACGCCTTCGAATAACACTCACACTAATAGTACGTTACTTACATTATTCGGACTATTGTCCTCTTCTTTGTCGCCATATTTATTACAACGTTTCGGTCGTTATACGCTCCGGCCTTCTTCAATAGTCCGAATAATGTAAATAATGTACATAATACCTCATCTCAGAAATATAGACACACTAATAGTACTTGCTCGATAATACTCGCTCGAATAGTAACCCTTATAGTGATCCCAATAGAGAAATAGTATTGTGAACAGAGTAGAGAATAGCGGTCCATATAGTAATAGAGAATAGAGTAGAAATAGCGATCCGAATAATAATAGAGGATAGACTAAGAAATGGAGACCGTTAGTCGTCAGCTATTTCCTACATGAATACGTTTCCTCTATGGTCACGTGGTTTATTTAATTCAATAATGGGATCACCTGTGTTTGCTCACTGGCGATCTATGTTCAAGCACAAGTGTCGGCAGCGACACTTTATTCCTATATAACACGTGTATCATTAAAAACCATTATTATCTCAAAAGAAAAATCCTTACAATCTAAAAATATTTTCTAGCTTTGAATAACCTGCAAAGGGGGGATAAGCCGTAAAAACGAATCAATCAATTAGTTGTACCGGATCAGATTTTTCTTCTATCATTCTTGATCTTCACGAAAACCGGATCAAAATAAATGTCTTGCTGCCATATTTAGGCTGGAGCTGCCCAGTCGTCACTTTCAACTCTCTACAAAGTTCAATAGCGTTTGCACGACCTTCATCCAGGATTTTGAGAATGGTGTGATCCAAAGTGAAAAAATATGTTGGCAAACTTAGACCACCGTGCCCGCCAAAAAAAAAAAAAAAAAACGGAATGTGAAAAGGGCGGATTTTCCTATGACACCGCTATTATTTTAACTACCTTCACTCCTCGACAATATTTATTGTCTTAAAAAGCGATGATCAGAATTGTAATAAAACCTAAACATATGATATAAGGGAATTTATACTTTTTTTTTGTTCTTGAGAATTCACGACAAAAATAATAAACACTATTTATTAGATTGTTTATTCACAAGAATTATTTTTTATTTACCACATTCTGATCTCTAATACAGTTAGAATTAATGCAATGCAATATTTATAATTTACCAATTTATAAAGAAATAAATATGAAAATAATTTTTATTCATAAATTTGTAAACATTTACCAAGACGGAGTGTCAAAAGAACAGTTTTTCCCATGACACCGCTATCATTTAACTACCTTTAGTCTTAGCTAAGGTTTATTGTTTTAAAAAGCGATGACTAGAATTTTAATAAAACCTGAAAATATGAGAATATCGTATTTAAACATTTTCTTTGTTCTTGAAAATTGACAACGAAAATAATAAACATTATTTATTTATCAGATTGTTTAATTACATGATTTATTTATTTGATTGTTTGACACGTTTGCCAAAATGTTCAGTTGCACTTTCCCCGTAATTTTTCTTCTTTTATGCACGGCGCGCACCTACAGGATGTAACTGATCATGACTATCAACAATTTCCAGGCTTTCGCCGCTCTGAGTGACAGTTCACTCTTAAACTCCATCTTAATTGATGCTAAAGAAACATGACTTGCTTTGCAGAATCTATTTCTATCAGTTGTAACTGTACCATGTATAAACACTGCCACGGTTACACTACCTCTGTACTTATTACGTCACACGTATCCGTTCTTTTTTAGCACACCTGTGATTCATTGTCTCTTTTAGAGGGCGTGACTGATCATGAAAAGTCCTGTTTCCACTCGCCAAGGAGCTTGATAGTAAAATTATTCTCACCTGACAAGTGAATACAATATCCGTGAAACACAGGAAAGACATAGATAATATTAACATTCAATTATATATATATATATATATATATATATGTATGTATGTATATATATATATATATATATATATATATATATATATATATATATATATATATATATATAATTGAAATATAATATAATATATATATAATTGAAATATAATATAATATAATATATATATAATTGAAATATAATATATATATAAGCAAATATATGGATACAGATCCGACAGTATGAAGAAAATATACGGAAAAACAAACAAAAATCCTAATATGCAATTATGATGTTTTAATGCCCGACGTTGACATTATATTAACATTAAAACAGCATAATTGCATATTAGGATTTTTGTTTTTTTTTCCGTATATTTTTCTTCATATATATATATATATATATATATATATATATATATATATATATATATGTTCAAACATATATTTTTTAAATATAACAGACAGCGAATCTCTATTATTTTTGATCATGAACCGTTCTAATCTTTGTATACTTGCTTTAGTTTCGGGAGAAAATAAAGTCAAAACCTGACCCTTACTTGGATATTTTTTATTATGCTCTTCATCGACCTAAGATTTCGATTCACATGAGCTATCATCAGAGTGGTTATATGGGCATTACAACAGAGTTGTTCAGCGTCAAAGATGACATCCTGTTATATTTACATATTTAAATAGAAGTTTTCTATGCGACAATAACGGTCGCGGAATAGCAAATGCAGGTCATAAATTCGTAATGCGATTCTATGACGTCGTACATGACCACGTGAGAGAAAGAAACACTATCAACAGATCCATGTGTTTAAAAGCATTTCAATATTTTGTGACTGGTTTGAAATGTAATTTTGTTGGGTGTGGGTTGCTTTGTTTTAATGTAGATGGCCTCCAATATCTTAAGGTACTTTTTACTGTGTGTATGTGTGAAACTACAGCTACTATACGAAGCTTAGAGCGGCTTAGGATCAAACATAATAGATATTCGTTCTCTGTTATATTTAACAATATATATTTGAATAATGGTCTGCTGCCCCCTCTCTCGCTCTCTCTCTCTCTATATATATATATATATACATATATGTAAGCAAATGTAAATGGATATAAATCCGACAGAATGAAGAAAATTTGGAAAAAACAAACAAAAATCCTTAAATGCAATTATGTTGCTTAAAGTGAATGAAATGTCGACGTCTGACGTTTCGGTTTAATAAACCTTTTTCAAGACAATATTCATTAAAATACAATTCAGTTCAATTTAACAAAGACGATGGAAGCTGATCATTTTAAAAATTTTCAGTTATCTGTTTTGGATAAGACTTGTTTTTTATGTCCATCGTCTTTGTTAAATTGAACTGAATTGTATTGAATGAATTTTAATGAATATTGTCTTGAAAAAGGTTTATTAAACCGAAACGTCAGACGTCGACATTTCATTCATTTTAAACAACATAATTGCATTTAAGGATTTTTGTTTGTTTTTTCCAAATTTTCTTCATATATATATATATATATATATACATATATATATATTATACACACACACACACACACATATATATATATATATATATATAGATATAATTTTGTATAATTTTATATATCAACAGTATTTAGAAAAAATATGGATAGATATGGTGCGTCACAAAAAACTTTCCAGTTTGTCATACTTTTGTAAATACGCACCACCCCACACACACATATATAGATAATATTAGTGGTAAATATACACATACAAATGCAATCATATATCTAAAATATATAAATATATATACGTACATACATACATGCACATACATATATATTTGTATAAAAAATAATTCCAAGAGGATAGAATCCAGGTAGAACACAATGTCCAGGACAGAGTAAGGATATCATAAAAAGGCTTAAACACTAATATTCCATGATCATAATTTATTTCATTGGAATCGTAATTACTATCCAATTCATCAGACCTACAAATTCAAAAAGAAAACAGAAAAAACAACCCCGGGAATAAAAAATAAAATTTACTGAGAATGTATGTATGAGAGTGTGGGACGAATGTTAGAGTAAATGAAAGCTATAGAGAGGGGTAACAGACAAGAGAAGGACAGGAAGGTCTAAAGATGAAGGGGGGATTAAAATTTAACAGAGAGAAGTTTTAAAGAGGGGAGTCAAAGACGATTTAAGTGAGAGAAATATGAATGTTCTCGGATGTCTCATACATTAAAGATGTAACCGGAAAGGATGCATTTTGTGGTGACATACATACACAATAGACGATATAATCTTAAAGGTCAGAAGATGAGAGAGGGAAAAGAAAAGAAATAAAGGAGTGGGGGTGAGAGATGGGGCGGGAGGGGTAACTAAAACCGAAGGGCATTTACTGAAAGGGCCGCTGTTTAATTAAGAAAATTTGACAAAATTAATATCGACTACAGGTTACAAATCAAATATAAACATATAAAAAAAAACAAATATAACGATTATCTAATCTAGCAAGGACCTATATTTCTATGTTCAAAAACACATGCGTATACACACATACACAACAACATATATTTACATGTACATACATATATATAGGCGTGTACACACATACATATACATATAACCATGCATACATATACATATATATATATATATATATATATTCATATGCATATATATATATATATATATACATATATGCACATACACATACACACATATACACATATATACATATACATACATAAACACACACACACATACATACATATACACATACATCCATACACATCCACTCCTACATATATATATATATTTACACACATATATACATACGGACATACACATACGTGCACATAAACAT